CCTGTGATGGGGCTACTAGTCTTCTTTGCTTTCGACTTCGAGAGAGACCTCGTTGCGGCGGGTAAACGGGAGAGTGAATGGTGGATTGTACTGCAGGTCATGAATTAGCAGAAAGTAAGAAATAAGATTAGATTTTAATCCATTTAGGCATTTCTGATTGTTAATGAACCTGTGCAACTTCAACTGAAACTCCATCTCTCACTCGGAACTTTTTGTCATTTTGAAGAGCTCGCCTTAGTTCTTGCTCCCGTCTCTCAATCTCTTCATCGGTAACATATCCTGAAACAAAGTTGATTTGTTCATAGAGAACCAAAAAAATCTGCTTATGTTAGAAGCTTCATGAAGTACACTAGTTTTAATGAAAGATAACTAGTTGGAACCATGAATATGTTGTGAACATCATGTATCGTATATCACACATTAGACTAAACATTACTTTCTCAGAGAATTCATGAACACTGAAGAACACTTCCTTTAGTTATAGCGAAAACACGTTGAATTATTTTGACCTCTTGTTTCCAATTGTGAGAATCTGTCTCTGACAGGCATATAAGACTGGAACTAGTTCGGGATTTTCTGGTGTATTATCTTTGATTATTCAAACTACTGTATCATCACACGCGGAAGTGAAATCGAGTATCTTTACCTGAGAAGGCGACAACAGCAACAATCTTTCGTGGCACCTCCTGAATTTTGACTGAAGGATCTTTTGGCAATGGCAAATTCGAACCATACTTTGAGGGCATGACAAAAGACATCCGCCACTGGGTTTGATCTTTTGCCTGAAGCAAATTATACATGCAAATACATAAGATACTAATTGACTAGGAACAAGCACAAGGTAAGAAACTGAATCAAAGACCATTACAGAAAATGGAACTGCACTAATTTACAATTCAATCTCCACACTAACAAGTAGGTATTCCAAGATCCTAGCATTTACATAGAGCATAGGAATGTGATGCTCTCAATAAAAATCAGAACAGTTCCAATATAGAAATGGTAATAAAAAGAAGAAACCAACACACTCAAAGCTACTCCAAATATACTATCTATGGTAAGTTAAGAACTTCCAATAGGAGAAGCTCCATGATCCATTGATGATGTTATATATTTACCTTACTAGTTATTACCGGAGTAGTCATTTCCATCTTTTCCCCAACAGATTGGACTTTACGAGTAACAACAGGAGTAGTCATCTCCATTTTCTCCTTAATTGTATTCTGTTGAAAAACACAAGTATCCAGAGCTAAAGCAAAACAAAATTCAAATCAAACAGAGATGCAGCAAAAATTCATAAAGAAATGCTTCATACTAACCTTACCAAAGAGGTATTCAGCTAACACATTGAAAGACTTAGAAGCACCATAGAAGTCGAATCCAGTATCCCCTGGCATTGTCGTCTCGGCCACAAAATAAGGCTGTTTCCAAAGTCAAAGCTTTAAAGTAAGACAAATGTTTAAACACAGAGAGTGTGAATGAAATTAACATAGCGAATAGAACAACAACGACCTCGACTTCTCTAATCTCGTATTTATCTGTCCTACTTAGAACTTTGAACTTCATTGTGTCGAGATCCGGAACTACACAAAAATTCAAGATTTATCTCAGTGAAAACAAATGAAGAACCCAAAATCAAGAACACAATAAGCAACAAAACTAACCAGACATCAAAGCTTCTTCCAGATTGGAGCTATTGAATCTCTTCGGAAACACGTATTTCGCCGTCTCCGCCGCTAAATCAGCCAAAACTGATCGAACCAAAACACAAAACCCAAGCAAATAGTTTCAGTGACAAAATTGCGGCAATAGAAGAAACAATTGGAGATTAGAAAAGACGAAACATTTACGGCGTTGAGAGACAGAAGACGCCTGAGAGGCGAGAGCGAGAACGAGAGAAACCCTAGCTTCAGTGGCAGACAAATCTCGACTCTGCCGCGTAGCTCTGTCTATACCCATCACTCTCGCCGTTCTGACGCCGGAGCAAACAATCCGGTTAGGGTTTGGAGACGAATGGAGATCGACGGAGAATTTCATCTGAGAAGAAGAGAGAATCGAAAGGGACGATCCAATGGAGCTCATCATATTTTCTCTTCGGAATCGCTCAACACCAAAATTTCGTTTCACTGTTTTTCCCGGAAAATAATGTGTTTGATAAAGAGAATTTATGAAATATTAACGACCGCTCGATTTTTCTAGAACCGTACCGTACCGATGAAATTCAGCCTTGAACCGATCGGTTTAATACGGTTTATGATTTGCTATCCTCTCCACTTGGGGGGGGGGGGTTTAACACAAATCAGAAAACCTTTAATTACTTTGTCACGAGGCGAGTTAAAATCGTTCCGACAAAGAGGAGGAGGAGCCGCCGCGTCTGTTGGAACACGCGCCGCCGGAGAAAGAAACGGAGGCATGGGTCGACTCTTGATAACCAGTCAGATTCAGAGATTCCGTTTCTTCTCTTACTTATCTCAGGTTCTGCTCAATTTTCTCTCTTCCTCTCTTAATGTTGGCTCGTTTTGTTGCCTACAATGGTTAAAGTTCAGTAGTTTCTGCCCTACTGCCCTTAAGTTTTGAGAAAGTTAAGAGCTTCTTGATAAAGACTTGATTTTTTAGACTGTGGTAGTAGTATTAACTGCAGTTTATTTGGATTTTCACTATTTTTTTTTTGCTCAAATAGAGTTTGTGCATTGGTGATTTGCTCAAGCTTCTGAATTAAGGATATAACACTTATGTGATCTCTTGTGTTTACTCTGTTCTTGCTCTTTCTTTGTCTGTAGCAGAATGGAAGAAGAGGCGGTGTCGCTTGCTCTAGCTATGGAAACCGTTATCTTTCATCTTTAGGTAAGCATCGGTGATTTCCTCTTAGATTGGTGACTTTCACGAATGATTCTTCATGGTTTAGTCTTTAATGAGAGTGATTCCATTTGTCAGCTGAAACTTCAGACTGTGAACTTGATGAAGTCCCAGATGATAGCAAAGTAGCGGAGAAAGACACTGCTCTACATTCGGCGTTATCTGATCTTTCTGGTGATTTTGATAAAGACTCTAGGTTGTGGTTGCAGCGGTTTTACAGATCACGGCGAGTTTCTGTGGTGTCTACGGGTTCGCTCAACCTTGATCTAGCTCTTGGAGTTGGAGGATTGCCAAAGGTTGTTTAATTTAGAGTCTGAGATAGAAATAGCCAAGCTAAAGCATTCTGTTTGTCTTTTGACTCATTGAGGTCTCTAAATGTGTGTTTATAAGAGAAATTTATGGTTTTATGTAGGGGAGAATGGTTGAGGTTTATGGAAAAGAAGCTTCTGGAAAGACAACTTTAGCTCTTCATATCATCAAGGAAGCTCAAAAGCTTGGAGGTAATGCTCTTGAATATTTGCTTGAACCGAAACCTTGGGGCTTGGTACTAGGGTTCATCCTAAGTTGGGAATACAGCTCTTAGGGTATTTTTCTTTCTTGTTTCTAGTGCGATAAGTAAGCTTGTGTAGCTACATTTTGGATTCAGATTCTTGCCAAGCTGACTTGGTTTTCTTTTTCACTCCATAAGTTTTTTATTTATCTTTAAAATTTTGTTTGGGCCAGGTTATTGCGCTTATCTTGATGTCGAGAATGCCTTGGATCCTTCTCTAGCAGAATCAATAGGTGTGAACACGGAAGAGCTTCTAATATCACGACCAGATTCCGCTGAAAATATGCTAAGTATTGTTGATGTGCTAACCAAGAGTGGATCAGTAGACGTAATTGTTGTTGACAGTGTGAGTTCTCACTCTTTCATCTTCATATGTTCATGTATTCTTTCTGCACCCGCTAATGTCAGAAGCGGAATTTGCAGGTTGCTGCTCTCGCCCCTCAATGTGAACTTGATGTTCCTGTGGGAGAAAGATACAGAGACATACAATCAAGAATAATGACACAAGCGCTCAGAAAAATCCACTACTCAGTTGCCAATTCTCAGACACTGATCGTTTTTCTTAATCAGGTAAGCGAAGTATTATGGTTTATCCTCTTTTGCTCCAAAAGTTGGATTATACTGACCTATCTACAAAAGATAAGATCTCTCTTCTAATTATTGTTCTCTGATACAGGTCAGATCACATGCCAAAGCTAACATGCGTTTCCCCTATGCTGAAGAAGTAACTTGTGGGGGAAAGGCATTGCCGTTTCACGCAGCTATACGTCTCAAAATGATAAGAACTGGTGTAATAAAGACTGACAATAAGGTATATAAGCGCATTGTTGTCAATGTGTTATTGTAAGCTTAATCTGCATTAATCTCTATAATACTGCATAAATTCTGCAAAGAGTAGTATGGTAATCTCTTTAATTTTAACCCAACAGCTTCATCTTCTATTGATTGCTTTCTTTCCTCAGATAAGTGGTCTCAATGTGTGCGTCCAAGTGGTGAAAAATAAACTGACTCGAGGAATGAAGAAATCCGAATTGGGGATTCACTTTGGTCGTGGCTTCTACGTGGAGCGTGAGGTTTTAGAACTGGCTTGTGAGCATGGAGTTATTATAAGAGAAGGAAACAGCCATTTCATTGAAGGCAAGGTTATTGATGGGAAAGTCGCAGCTGAAAAGCATCTGCTGGAAAATAAAGAGATTCTTGATACCGTCATTGAAACCCTGAGGAACCAGCTCTTCAAAATGTGAGAGAGGAAACAGATCTGGAGTTCCACAACATATGTGTATACTTCGACAGAGCAAAAAACCAGTCTAACTTTTCATCAACTGAAAAACTCATGGCGGAAGGAACAAAAACAGTAAGGTAAGTTAACTAAAAGGAGGATCAGAGAAAACATGCCAAAGCTAGTTGTTGTTAGATGATAGTATGGACATTGTTCTTGCAAGAGATTCTCCATCATGTTCTGCAGAAGCATTCCTTTTGTTTTGAACCAAAATGCTTTTCTACTTAGGCATTAAGATGAGGTTTGGAATTCATTATTGGCTGGTTCTCTTGTCATTTAGCCTCATTCAAACCTATGTAGAACCTTCAAAAGTCAATCTACGACTTATTATAATTGCTTAGTCTTCTTGAATTTAAACTCTTGAAACTTGTTGCAGAATCTCTACATCCCTATATACCAAAAACTAGGTAATGTCACTTCCACAAAGTTGAAAAAAGTTATGTTATATGTAATAAAATTGACTAATCTCATGTTAAATTAACTTCACTGTGGACAGATCCGTCTTCCATCCTAATCCATGACTTAATACGAAAAGGCATTTCAGTAATCTCCAGAATTCTTGATCCTCTTGGCCAATTTCCATATCCACCATAACCAGTATGTCTTGCAAAGCAAAGCCAGAGCTTGTCCTTGTATGGACAACACCAGTCTAGTCCATGGTTGTGTCCTACAAACACAGCCTACAAAGATATCAAAAAAGATTCATCATCATTTTGTCGCTAAATAGTTAAGAGAGGTTTATATCGAACTTTATGGCATCTCAATGTTTTGTTATATCGTGTTTGATTAGTACCTTAACTGAAGATCTGTTCTCAAGAACTCTCATCATACCATTTTCAGCTTCTTGAGCAGCAACTTTCTCTTTGTTGATTGATCCGACGCAAGGTTTTGTTATCCATAACATTGGAGCTACTTTCTTGTATGCTTTACTCGGTATGTGCCAAAAGATCAACTCTGGAATCCTGCCCCAAATGTACATCTTCGGATATCGAATAAGACATAGATTTATCTTCTAGTGGTAATAACCCATATATCGAGTGTTCCCCACAAAAAAAGAAAACTTTAATGTTTTGATTCGTACCTTAAATCAGGATTAAGAGTACTAGACATGGTTTCAAACCATTTCACTTGAGCATTTGAGATAACCTCAGGGTATGAACCTCCACCCGAATCAAGAAAGTAAAGCAATGCCAGTTGTGGTTTCGAATCATCCGATGATTCCACAGGAATGACGTAGTTAGATACACTTGGCCATAGCTCCTTAGGACCAATCGCCGAGTACGAGAGTGCATTGGATGCTTTTATTTCTTCTTGAATCAATTCCACTCGCGTTGTTCCTCTAAAAGCGCATCCATCACCATTATCCGAGGAGGAATTTGATGTAGCCAGGCAGCGAATGGGAGGGATACCGGAAGAAGAGAACCAATCCAAAGGCCATTCGAAAGAAGCGTCGTCGTGGTTACCAAAGAGAGTAGCCCATGGGATTCCTCTGTCTCTTGTAGGAGAGATTGCTTTGTCCCAAAACAAGCTTGCGTTTTGGATTGGTATGTTGTTAGCCGTTACTACATCTCCCAAATACACCACAAAATCTGTTTCATTTTCTCCCACAAACAAAAAAAAACGGTTATTTCAGTTATGTTTTAAATTAATCTTATTGTACGAGCTAGCTAAACACACACTCTCACTAAATTGGTGTGTTCAATATTCCAATTAAACCGAGCCAATCAAAAGATTCAAACCTTAAACCAACAAAACGGATCCAAAATCTTATTTAAATTTGTGGTTACACTCTTTGTAACAAACTAACTAGATTTTCACCCGCACTATGTACGGGAACATTCGTTGTATATGATGTAAACTAAACTTGACTTTCTTATTGTATTGGAATATTAATATCAACATAACAATTTTGAATTAGGGGTTTAGCCAAGGAGTGTCAAAACGGGTAACTCGACCCGACCCAAACC